AACTATTCTACTATTGATCTATGCTTAGCAATAAAAGTAAAAGTAATAAAAATAATTGAAGGTTCTGGTTTGCGTAGATCCTGACACTGGGTTCACACAACTTACGGAACCATCTTCCAGCCAACCACATTTCAGCCTAGTGCGTTATACAAACCATATGGTTAGTTTATGATTTGGTGTGTTGTGCAACCAAATCAGAACATTGGACTCAGTTGATCATGGGTAAATGTGTTATGGAAACACAACCACCAGTGATTTTAATACAAAACGACCTGGACCAAAAACAGCTGGAGTTGTTCACATGCTGATCTAGTTATCTTTGGGTTACAATGAAAAGACAGCATCTTTGCTACTCAGCAACAACTACAATTGATTTTAGCCAAAAGGTTGAGAGGCAATGCTCCACGCTTAATGACTGCTGCTTTTCTCTTCCCACAGCACCCAAAGAATGATCTTGCTGCTGTCTCAATATGCAGGAAATGTATTGCCCCCAAACCTGCCCGGACCCACCACTGTAGCATCTGTAACAGGTGGGCCATCATTGTTGTGTCAAACCTGTATATAATTTCTTTCATCCTACCCTGCCACCTATAATATATTTTTTTTTCTCATCCTTGCTATTTGAGATTCTTTGAAAAGCTCTACTCCTGGCCTCTTTTGTTGCAAGACACATGCTATCTTGGATTCTTTCCCGCAAGAGCTTCTGCAAGTTTGATTTCTTGCTTCCTCTTCCTAAATTCTGAAATTTACTAACTAGATTTGCTTAACTTCTGCAGATCTGTGAGCATGAAATATTAGACATACAATCCCTTATCTACCAGAAGTTCTTAAGAATCTGTTATTCTTCATTCTGATTTCCACAGTTCCCCTTCAATATATTCCTGTTCATTATATTTTAACTAACTGCTCAAATACTTGACTCAGAATACATGACAACATCAACAAATGTAATCATTTTACCCAATGCATATATTTATGGTGCAAAGTTTCTCTGAGGTAGGAGTCAAGTGTTAATGGTGGCATCTTTTAATTTAATAATTGCCTTCTCAACAGCAGAGTTGACTAGCTTAGGCTGTGGCCTTTAGTTCTGTTGCACTTGAGTGCAAGTCTAATTCTCCCATGTTTTTCAGCTGTGTTATAAAATGTAGGAGTGTGATCAGAGTTTGTTTTTTCCAAAGTGACATTTGCACTGACACATAAAGCAGGATTGTTTGTAAGGGGAGGAAAAAATTACACAAATCTGATAAATTCCTATGTATTAATTTTGTATCAGTTATGTTACCACTAGGATTAAGAATAGACTTTAGTTTTAAAATTTGAAAATTTTTTCTTCTCTTCCTCCTGATGAATTTGGATTTTTTAGCACCCTTCAGCCATTAAAAAGATTTAATTTTATCACCTAAAGCAGTGTTTCTCAACCTTGACAACTTTAAGATGTGTGGACTTCAACTCCCAGACTTCCCTAGCCAGCATCTGGCTAGTTGGGGAATTCTGGGAATTGCAGTCCACACGTCTTAAGTTGCCAGAGTTGAGAAACACTGATTTAAAGCAATAAAGATCAGACATTTGCTTTCAGTTTTTAGAAATGAAAGTTAGCATCCTCAAACAGCTAACACTATACACTTTATATTTGTGCATCTATATAGTACACACAGGCTTACCTTTGGGGATGGAAACTTAACGCTAACTTTTGCAATGTTAATATAAATATATAATTATAACAAATAACATTAATAAATACTCTATTATTAATGATATGCAAGCTGCACTGGTTGTCAGTTTGTTTCTAGGTGCAATTTAAGGTGCTGGTTTGTACCTATAAAGCCCTATATGGTATAGGGCCTGGTTACTTGAGGGATGACTGTCTCACATAACATCTGCCTGGCCAATCCAATCCTGCAGGGTTAGTGTGTTCCAGGTTCCTTCAATTAAACAATGTCATCTCTCAGGACCCCAGAAGCATGCCTTTTCTGTAGCAGTGCCTACACTCTGGAACGAGGTTCCCCTGAGATCTGGATGACCCCTACTGCTGTGGTTTAGAAGAGCCATGAAGACCTGGCTTTTCACCCAGGCCTTCCGCAAGGGAGAACAAGACCCTTCACTTCATCACACTTACCATCTTTTATCTTTGTTTTATTGATTTAATTGTAATTTCCTTCATTGTTATGAGCCACCCAGACTTGTTGAGAGTAGGGCAGCATGCAAGTTTAATAAATTATTATTCCCAAGACTGGGGACTAATGTTCACTAATGTTAAGCCTCCACTAAGGAGCAATATGCATATTTAGCCTCTGGTTTCTCTTGTTTTTTCATGCTCTGTGCTTGAACTGTTCCTTCATTAACACTTAGTTATGCTGCACTATCAGCAACCCCTTTTCCATTTGATAAAAATTAATGCTGTTTCCCTCCCACAGGTGTGTGTTGAAGATGGACCATCACTGCCGTATCCTTTTGCAGGTCTATAATATGACTAAGGAGTAATGGATCAGGTTCAGGTGGATCATTTGTTCCAGAAGGCTGAATTCCTATTCCCAGAAACAGAATGGAATCTCTTGAAAATAATTGGCCAAAGCAAGTGATTTACGACATCCATCAGAAAAAGGATTGGTGCCTTCTCTTTTTAACACAAGCGGTTCATGTTGAAGGTCCAAGAGTGCTATGGGAATTAGGTGTGAGCAGTTTTTGTAGGCTTGGCTATCTTCTGTTGTAATGGGAAGAGGGTTGGCGTTCTCCCTGGGGTTAGAGATCTTTAACCCGAAGAGACAGCATGGCTTAACAACTGTGTGGGACACTACAATCATCGCTATTTCTTCTCCTTCATGCTTTTCATGACCATGGGCTGCATCTACAGCAGTGTCAGTGGCTGGGACATGTTCTGGGAAGCTTATGCTGCTATTGAGGTGAGCACAGGGGGCAGCCTGTTTTCTCTGGGGGAAAAGGCCTTGAAACTTGTAGAGGTGCTGCCCTATGCAACAAGGGCGCATATAGGCCAAGAAGAATTAAGTGTGGGTAACTGGTGGCCTTTTTTCCATCCGATAGAGAATGAAACTACTTGACAAGGAGAAACTGCACGTGACAGCCAATCAGGTGGGGTATCTGCTCATCAGCTGCTCAAGTCAGGGAGAGGACAGGGCATATAATGGGATTTTGCCACTTTAGTTCCCGTCTGATTCTGATTCTGCAGAAGTGACTATCACAACAGTTCAAATTTAATTTCCTGGGCAGACACACTCCTTCCATTTTTCCTCACAAGGGAGCTATGGAACACCATTCAACTGGCATTTTTTCCCTATACAGGGAGAGAATATTTCCAGAACCAGATGTTTTGTCTGCTTTTGAAAGACAAGTGCTAATGGGGAATAAGGAAAGTGAGTCCTGGGTCCCCATGCTCTGCCCATCTGTGTCTCATGGTCAAGGGCCTTGTGTCTTAAAAAGGTGTCAGGCTTGCTTGCTATGCTTTCCATCCCATCTGTTTGTCCTTGAAAGCCCTTGGCAGCTTCTGGCCTGGGCCACTGCTTTTTCTTTCTTCCAATTGTGGTAACATCTGCTCTTACTTGCAGACTTACTCTCAGACACCACCACCCACCTTTTCCTTCCGCCAGCGAGCTTTCCACAAGAGCATAGTATACGCTTGGGTCCTCTGCAGGTAACTGATCTAGTTGTTTGGTGGAAAGTGCTGGGAGGGAAGAAAAAGAAAGCTACTTCAAGAAATTTTCAGAGTGCTGCCAAGCCAATCTTATTTGGAGTACTCTAGCTTGCATGGCCCTGAACCACTCAGTATCTTTATAAGCGTTCCTCTTAGCACAGCTTGACATCCTTTTTTTAAACTGCTCCTTCAGTTCAGTAGCCTTGGCATTAGGTGCCCTCACGCTTTGGCACTCAGTCCTCATCACCCGTGGCGAAACCAGCATCGAAAGACACATCAACCGCAAAGAAAAAAAGAGGCTGCAAAAAAAGGGCAAGGTAAGGGGAAAGACTGAAGTTTCAAAAGAGGAAAAGAAAATGGGGATGGACTCACTCAACTCAATCTTTTAAATTTTCCTGTTTTACTCTCCTGCCTTCTAGGAACTCAGACCATTTTTTTACATTGCAGTTCATTGTAACTTTAAATTTTATGCTACTTTATTTGGGTTATTTTAATATATGTTGATTAGAATTCTGTATTCACATTACTATTACATAATAATGGCTTTAACTAATCTTTTTTCCTCAGTTGTTTTTGATGAGCTCTCCTATCAGGGCTATGTAGGATGGGCAAACTAGCAGGCCTTTTTTGTTTTTTACTAGTAGCTTAAGATTCATCAAGTAAAGCTCAGTTCAAAATACAGAGCATTTTGAGAGCAGAAAGCTATTCCAATATCATTTTGTTTTACTATAATTAAGTGAAGCTTTCAGCACAAAAATTCAATGCTGATTACCATAAGCTTTCTTCATTGTACAGCTTAAAATTAATTTGTATGCAGTTTTGTTAAATATCTGGAAGTCCTTGCAGATCATACTGAGATACCCTCAAACCTTTTCTCCTCTAGAGAGAAAGGAAGAATACTCGAGTTAGAATCAAAATAACTGAATTTCATTCCCTTTTTCCCTTGGCTCTAGACATTTCGAAATCCATACAGCTTTGGTCCCTTGGGCAACTGGAAGGTTTTCCTGGGTATCGAGAGACAGAGGTAATCAATGTGCATATACTATATAAATTAGAATAGGATGGTTGTTCCCATTGATGAAGCAAATTATCAGCATAACTGGAACTACTTAGAGAATGATTACACTGTTATGAATCTAAACTAAGTGCCTGATAATTAGAAAATGCTAACAGAAGCAGTATTGAAACAGACTTGCATGTCTTCCTGCATTACGTATTTCTTACTGAAGCCCTGTTCTTTTTCCTAGACACTGGATCACTCGAATTCTACTACCTTCCACACATCCCCCTTATGGATCTGGCTTGAGTTGGGACACTCCTCCCTGTGTTGCTCGACAGAAGACTCCTCTTCTGGCAATCTGAGTGGGATGAAGAGCAGAGCATACCAGCTGGTGGAAAACTTGAAACCACAGGTTCCGTTCACTGGGAAGCATAACAGAAAATATAGTCCCTAAGCTGGCAGCCTAATGCCACAGTGGTATGCAATGAACTGTTCATCCAGCAGGAGACTGGGGAACCTCCAGCTGCAGCCAGGGATCTATTGCCTGTGTCTGTTTTGTTTTGCACATAGTCCAGTGGGGCTAGAGCAAAGTATTGTCAGTTTTGAGGGGCAAGTAGCTCTTCCCCTAACTCATGGAAGTTAACTGGCATATTAGGTCCTGTTGCTCTTCCTGTAAGGATGCAGGGATTTTTTTTTACCATAAAAATAAATATATATAAAAAATCATCGCCTCTTCAGTGGGAAAAGGGGCAGTGAAGGGATTTGAATACAAACTGGTGACTGATAACTCACAAGAACAGATTGCATTTAAAAAAAAAAAAGTAATTCTTTACTTTTAATGCTGACTTCTGATTGAATAGTTATTTCAAACAGCAAGCAGTAGTTGACACTAAGCAACATGTGCATTACCGATCCCCCCTATCCAGGTTATTTTCAACAAGTTGTTATTCAAGTCAGTGTTTCAATAGCTACAATTCAACTGCAGCCCTAGAACATATAGGGTATGTTTACACAACACACTTAACAAGGTCATTTAAAGAAACAGGAGTCTAGAGGTATCCCTCCCCCAACAGGCAGAAATCTACTTGGTCTGACCTAGTTAAGCCTCCACTGATATAGTACATTAAAAATCATAACTTGGCACTGTTGGCTAGTATACTAACTTTTTTTTGTTAGCCAGGATGGCCTTGCATTTCTCCAGCTGTTTATCAAAAAAGCACCAGATAAGCAGTTACTCAGAGTATTGTAACCAAGTAGCCATGTATTTAATTCTGGAGCCCCACAATTTATTAATTGATCTATGTTCAACGAACAGAGCATCCAAAATTTATTGTAAGTAAAAAAATTTAGTTGAAATGATGTGGTCTTCTAAATAGAACTTTTCAGCAGTTCTTCCCCACCTTATATTCCAATATCTTAAAAGAGTAGATAGCAATACTGAATCTCAAGTCACCTTTTGTGAAGTGCAGCTTTTTCCTAATATTCACAGTAGTATACACTATCCTGATCACTGTGCAGACCTATATTCTTATCCATTTTCTGTTGCAGTTCTGCTATATTCATTAGTAAGTTGTTCTTCAACAGTACTAAATCAGGGAAACCCTGTTGCTTTCTGTTTCTGTAACTCTCTTTTACAGCAGGGAAGTAGTCCACAGGTAAGGCTTTTTAAAACTAGACTGAATAGGAAATGCTTCATAAAAGCCTAGGTGGAATACTACGTTCATACTTTATAAAAACAGCACTAATGAATAAGAAAAGGATTAGATGTTGCTAACTTTACATCTAAACAAGAGTTTCATCCTGATGTTCTAAACAATGAAGTAGCTAGCTTGGAACTGTACAAAATCAGTGTGGCAGGTGATATTGTACTCATACCTCCCTTAGCATCCTCCCTGCTTTATTTGGTTTATTTCAGGTATTCTTTATTAAAATAATTAAATGGAAGGCTAGCTTACAGCAAAGAACCAGACTTCATCATTTTTATTTCCAATAATGCTTCTCAGCTGCAAAGGTATTCTTGGAGAATAAAAATGATGAGTAGCTGCAGCCCAGCACTTTTTTTCCCTGAGGTATCCAACCTACTGCCCCCCCCCCCAAAAAAAAGGATAAGGAGGGATAGCAAGTAGCAACCTATTTCCGGCAAACTGATGTTTTATAGAATGCCACATTCCTGTTGTCAACCGTATTATAACATGCTGTCAGCACTCTAAATGACCCTACCCTGCTTTCACCGGTTTATATTTTCTCAAACATAACTACCCAAGATGGCTAAAACACTGTCTAAATAGCCCTTTCCATAGTTCTTGCCATTTGTATTTAGAATAATTGTGAATATTTTATAATTTCTGTGAATTCTAATAATTTATTTTGTTCATGGCTGCACGTTTGTTTCATGTATATAAAAAGGACTATAGATGAAAATTGCTTGAACTCATATAGTAGATATTAGCTATGGTTTATAGTGGCTGATTTTTATACCACTAAATTAGGAATCTAAGAACCTAGCACTCAAGCAGCATGATGAAGAATAGCAGACCTGAACTCACTATGCCTGTTAACTTCTTTCCCATAAGAGGCACCTTCTCCAGAAGCTGTCAACAAATAGGTTGTTTATTCTTCTAACTCCATATGTTGGAGGCAGGAGATTCTGCTACCTCTATGCCTTACTGCACTGCAGTAAAAAGTGGGGTTTGTTGGTTGCAACCACTGTGGTTAGGATTCCAGCAGCCTATAGAAAGGGTAGTCCACCCCTAAAAAGGAAGGAAACTTTTCCACTTTTGTCCAAAGCTTTGCTGAACTTCAAGAAAAGTGGTCCAAGGCAAACAGCACGTAAGATTGTCAATCAGGATTCTGAGAGTGATTTCACCTGCCAGGTGTCCCAAGCAGAAACCTGAGGAGAAGAAAGAACAGATCATAGATTTATATGAGAAGAGGAGGAAAGGATGATAGACACTCCAAAGCATTGCTTCCTAATGTTTATTATCAAAGACAAATCATTCAGGGGCACTTCAGCACTGTATGACAGGCTCTTCCAATTACAATGGCTTTTTAAACAGCTAATATCAAGGAGACCTAGTGGATCAGGGCTCCTATTAAAAACATAAGGAACAGTACTGAAGAAAAATGCAAACCTTCTTACCATTCTCCTCGTGCTAGAACAGCTTCTTTACGTACAAGGCGCTTCTTGTCATCCAAAGGCTTGGCCAACGCTCGAATGACTCGTGGCTTGAAGGGGATCACCTGACAAGTATTGGAAAGCACCACTTTAACAAGGTCTCCACTAAAGCCCCACTAACGGACTAATGAGGGAGATGAATTGGCAAGTTACCAGCCACAAGTGCTTCCACCACTTACCACTGGAGTAGGTAAGGAGGCAAGTGTGTGGAGGCATTGAAGTGCAGCAATACGGATTGCCTACAACACATAAAAGGCATGCAATTAACTCTATAAGATCTTCTCCTTCCAGACAGTAAAGGAGGGAATAAGCTGAGAAAGTAAACAGTACTCTACACACCATGGCAGGATTGTCTGTTAGGTTAAGAAACTTGCCCACAAGTGTGTCAATGTGGAGATGCATAACATGAGGTGCATCGAGTAGCAATGGCTGTAGACAACGTAAAGTTGAAAGCTGGACTATGTGGTCAGGACATGACAGAGACTCCAGCAACAGAGGCAGCAACTGTGGGAATAGACAAATGAGAGAAAGGGTCACATTTCCTTTACTATTATACACATGGATCTAGGTAACCGCCAGAAGGTAGCACTAGAGCCTTGGTCATCATTTCACACTCACCGTAGGCAGCTCTGTCACTAGCACTGGTTTGGGCAGGTGATTCAATATGTGAGACAGGCCCTTCAGGTAATTTGGTTTCACATCTAGGAAGAAAAAGGCAGTCCAGGTAAGGTTTTTCCAGAAAAACATCAGCATACTTTACATTTGCAGCAGACGCAAACAGGCCTATACAGTAGTGAAAACACTTGTTAGTAAGAAAAAGAAAGCCACCTCATTCTTCTGTTTCTCAATTCTCTCTGTAATTATGGAGCTGGCCTATTAAGGCTGCAAATTCCTCTGTCTGCCTCTCAGGCAATAGTAACAGAAAGCCCAAACCTTGCAAGAAACAAATAAAGCAGGAAAGAGCACGAATTTCCTCTTCTATGGAGAGAATATATCTGCCCAGGAAATTATTTTAGTAAAACATGAGACTGAAGAATTCCTTACCAGGAATGGCCATGTGGAAACATTGCACTAGCTGTGGCACGCAATCTGTGAAGAAGCGCTGGCGGAACATGAGGCGCACCTCAGCATGACAGCTCTTGCCCAATACATCAGTAGAATCAGCCATGAGCAAGGCAAAGCCATCACCCGCTGCAGGGCCAAGAACAGTGTCCCCCAAAAGCTTGAGTAGCTGTAGAGCAAACAAAGGCAGAAGTGTTTAATGGAGGAAGACGCCAAGGCATTAGGTCTTTATGAGGATCCCAGCTTTTCTCTGGAGCTTACCTTGTCAGTCAGCTGTGTGATTAATGGGTGGTAGCGTAGCAACAAAGCTTTACTCACCTGCAAGGAAAAAAAAATACACTGAACTCTAAAACTAGCATGGAGGAAGGATGGATAAGCATGCAACGTTATGCAAACTTACCCACAACAGCAGAGTGAGGGCCTGGTGTTGATACGGACCTTCATTCAAGCCTTGCTCCAGCATTTTTATGGCTATTTCCAAGAGCTGATCTAAGTGTGGCCCTGAAAACAGTAAAAGCATAGTGACCAACTGTTACACCTGTGTAATTTTTTCTTAAACTGGATAATATCTAGCACAGTCCAGTTTTAGGGTTTCAGTGGCATGAGAATACCACCCTAATCCCAAAATCCTAGGGCATTCATTGTTCTATCCAGCTATTACCTTCTGGGTATTTGTTAATCAGTCCTGCAAAGCATTTGGCAGCAGCCGTAGCAGTGAACAGGCAGTCACAGGAGTAGCTAAGAGCTAGTAGCTCATGCAACAACCGATCCTGCTGAGGAATTGCCACCTGCAAGGAAAGCAGATCTTGGGGAAGAAGGAAGCTAACAGCAAACTTTCCACCCATACACTGGCATCTCACCTTGGCGTCATATAGTGCAAATCTACTCTCAAGAAATTTCCAAATGTTCCTGACCTACAATTCCCAGAATCCACATCACCAGCAATGTTGATTAGAAATGTAGAAGCTGAAAGTAATATCTGAAAGACCATAAATTACCCCATCCCGCACTCTAAAACCATACTGAAAATTCTCCCCAGGACTCACTGTTCTTGGCAATGAGCATACGAAGGCCATAAGGAGAGCAACAAGTTTTCTTTGGGCTGCCACTGGACATGGCCCATCCTGTAGAGAAGACAACATCATTTTTATTATTGAGGCTATCCTGAAACTTCTGATCATGTTTTTCCATACACAGACAGCCAATTTGATATAGCAGTTAAGGTGCTGGACTAGAAACCAGGAGATCATGAATTCTATTGCTCCCTTAGGCACAGAAGCTAAGGGTGATTCTGGGCCAGTCACTCTCTCTCAGCTCTTACCTAACCCTTCAAGAGGTTATTGTTGTGGGGAAAATAGGAGGAGGAAGCCTTATGTTCATCATCTTGAGTTGTATCAAATAAAGGCAGGATAGAAATCAAATAAATAGCAGGGATTAGGCTCAAATACCTGAAAGGGCTGGAAAGGGCTGGAATAGTTGTTTCCAGGCAAGAAGGAAAGTTCTCCATCTAGGAAGAGAGGTATCACTTTGGACACACTCTGGGCAGCCAACCTGCCATGATATAATGAGATATAATTGACACTATCTTAATGGACAGAAATGTCAAAGAGTAGTGAGAGAGATTACCAACACCTCTCCTAATCTAAGCCAGGCAGAAACCCAGCCTTATCCAATAGAAATACTAAATTGTACGGCATCAGAAACCACAGGAAGGGACCTGTACTCACTCTGGGCTTAAGTGCATGCAGGCAGCACTGATCACCAATACCATGGATGATAAAGCTTCTTCTGTCAGCAGAACTTTGCCTGGTGTTGTGTGGGAATTTTCTGAAAGTGATAACAGAAATGGGGATATGTGGGAGGAGATGGGTCTCAATCATCAGTACTTATTAGTTCTTTTCAGGGGTCC